TCTCAAGTCAGGTACATTGACATGTACATACAGATCTAAGTGTGAAAAGAATTTTGAAAGAGGTTTTTCTTCAAATGTCCACATATAGGCCTCACCAAATAACGGGTAATGAAAATTTATCATTAGACCAGATTCATAGACATGATGCAAATAAATAAATGTCTTATATTAATGTACACATAGCTTAATCTGCTATATTTACAGGTATACTTTATATGAAGCAAAATAAAAATAGTTGCATGTACGACGTACACAATTGAAATATAATGTTGCATACATTAAACAGACATCACCCCCCCCCTCCCTCTCTTTCCCTGTGTGTGTGCAATTTGCTGTACTTATTGGTGATTTATTCATTATTTTTAATATAATATAAAGCTTTCCTTGAGGATGCAGCCAAACACATGTACATTTCCTGATCAATGCCCCAAAGAATCATGATCATTTTTGTAAAAAAAAAAAAAAAATCGTCTCCGGACAAGATTACTTTTGGAGTAAATATGGGCTAGAGAAGCTTCGAATGTAAAGACTTTATCTAATAAATAAGCTTTGAAATACAAATCTAAAATCATTATGCTCTTCGCAAACCAAAATATCTCCAAAACGAGTGAATGATTATCGATACATTATGACCACGGCTCTCTTTCAAGGGTGCTGGATTTTCTATGTTGCTACAATAGCCATTCCGGTGTGAGAGCGTCGGTTTGATGCAGAAATAACAGCATGTGGTAGAGAGAGTTAAAAATGACAACACTAACGGACACCTCGAAAGCAGCGTACAGTTAAAAGTTAAATGCTTGAATTAACTTTGGAGAAAGAATTGAACATTTATCAATAAAAATTCATCCTTTAAATCCAAGACATTAAAACCACCATAAGGTCTGTGAAAGTTTGAAAAAGTGATTTGTTTGAAAATTTAATGTTATATGTGGAAAAAAACACCAAAGAGAAAAATGAAATTCTGAACAAGATTCTGAATTTTATAAACAGTTCAACATTTCATTTCATTTCATTTATTTTATTTCATTTTATTATTATTATTTTTTTGTTTTGTTTTGTATAAATTTACTTTTATTAAATTTTGTTTATATTTAGTTTTCATTGTTTCCTTGATTTATTCGGTTCTTAAATGTGTATAACTCAAATCCCAACACCCTTCAAGAAGTTTTTGTGACGTCATTCTAGGGCGACTGACAAGTCAAAAAATGCAAAATATTAGGATCAGGGGATAAAAGGCACCTAACTTCGTGAACTGAGGGTCCATATGAAATTCATAGAAACTGCATTAAGTCATTAATAAAAAAAAGTTTACTATGACTAAGTATATGTCTTCCACACAAGAATTATTATTATAATGTAACAAAGTTTTTCTTAGTTAAAAGTCATAATTTATCCTGTCGCTGTAAAAAAAAAAAAAAAAAATGAAATCAACATATCATATATACTGTTTAACATTTTTCTTTTTTCTCTAAAGAGGATCTTCATAAATAATGTCATGTTAGATTCAAGCAATAGTGAAGGATACTAAAGTTTGCGTCGGTTATCGAAAATTAAAATAAATGTAAAATCTTTTGACAGGATAAACCCATTATTTAGACAGAGAAGAAAACATAGAAGTATTTTGCCTCACTAAAAATGGACTTTTTAAGAAAACCGCACTAAAACTTTAGTATCCTGAACACGGATATCTCGAATACCATGGATATGTTGAAGTAATAAGAAGTCCCAAGCACATATTTTCTAAACATTTCGAACCCTAGAATATTTCTTATTTAGAACGATGATGCATTAGTGAACTATTTGGCTCTATCTGAATTCCAAATAGAACAAGAATTAATTGTCCCAGCTGAGACTGAAAGATTGTGTGGAGTAGCCAAAATCATGGACCTTGTGTCTGTTTTAAGGAAAAAAAAACAGATGAGTATCACTCTAGAACGTCAATCATTCAGAGGTTTGATTGCATATAAATTTCAGGTTATCCTCTTTAAATACCTTTAAAACAAATGATGCGTACACTTAGTATTTTTAAGGAGAACCTCTTCATATCAAAATGTTTTAATGATATTTTTGCGAGCATGTCTTTCTTTTAATAGAATAAATATCCAATAAAATAAAGCTCCGCAAAATTTACTTTTTAACATATCCAGTACAATTTGTGGAAACCCCTTATTTTCAAATTTTTTAAAGCCATATGCTTTAAAGTTCTTATGGAAGTTCAATATTATAATAAAAACATTGAAATGCACATCAACATATTTACAGAATAATCAAAATATACATGATTTTTATTTCAATCCACAATAGCACAAAGAAATTACTAATATATTATTTTTTTATGAAAAGAGCTTGATAGATTCTGCCGAAAATCTAAAATTATAAATAATTTTGAAGGCTTCAAATGATAAAAATCAACGACAATGAATAATTTTATAAAAAAAAAAAAAAAAAAAAAGGAAAGAATCAAGAAATCGTAACATCACAAAAAAGACTTACATTTAAAAAATGTTTAAAAAATTTAAAAATATTTACATTTAGTTAATTCATTTGTCATTATAAGGACCTAGTTAGAAAATACAATTTATTATTGGCTCGTCTTCCATATCAATTATACACTTAGTTTTTACACAATATTTATCAATAAAGGAGGCTTTGACTGGACAACAAAGCATGCTTACTCCTGCTATGCACCTGATCCTTCCTCATAAGTTTCCAGGGGTCCTTGTTTTATGCCCCGTTTACAAGTTTGTATTGTTGAGTATTCATTTTAGATCGACTTTTTGTTTGTTATCTTCGCCATTTCTTTTATTTGACAATGTTTTCAGATTTTAAATAAGTAAAATAATAAGGTGTTGCTGACTAATTTTTAAGGCTAAAAAAGCATAATCAAAGGTCGAAGCACTTGAAAAAAAAATCTATATATTTTTGTCAAATAAGATAGTTGTCAATATGACCTTTAAATATTTAATTTTATTAAGAGATGAAAATCTTCATCTAATGAAGAAAATAATTTTAAAAGTTCGATAATTTAAGGATAGCTAATTCAGAAACACATAACACTGAATTAATATTAGACATGGTATAGACATGATCTTTGCATTAATTAGAAGAAAACTTTCATTTTAATATTTGGATTTGCAAAGTAAACATGCATGGTAATCTATACCAGATTCAATAAATCAATATTCTAATGAATGAAACATACGGAGTACGTAACAGTTAGCCAATCACTTTTAAGTAACTGATATATGATTTGATATTTATATTTGACGTTTGGTATACCATATTGCAAATTCTTACAGGAACGCAACAAGAAGCTTTAAATACAAATTACGATATGGGCGCTCTTTGGGCTATCTATTTAATTTTTGTCTTCTTTGCGGTGTCTCAGTCTACCATTATTTCGCGGAAATACACTGCAAAACTGGATATGGATGATAAGAAATCAAATGACGAACTTTTAGGAGAATACAATTCTACATCGGTTATAGAGTGTGGAGCGCGCTGTCGAAGGGAGTGTAGTTTCTATGGATTTAATCCTCGGATGAAGAATTGCCGAACCCACAGGAAGATTTTCACGTCGTCGCTGTCTCATGAGGGGGGCTGGAGATATTATTCGCATGACTGTATGTATAATTTTTAATTTTTTTTTCGTTTGCCACAATTCACATAAACATCATTCGTTTTTATTGCTCAACATTATTTAATCTAAATAATAGTCCTGTCTCTTTACCTATTTATTCTAATTAATCTTATTTTGAATGAAAACTGAATTTGAAATTGAAGAATTTTTTTTTTTTTTTTTTTTTTTTTTATGTAGTTTTACTTTTTGTTAGTATTATCTTTGATAAAAAAAAAATTGAACTTCTACTGTGCAGAAAATACTTATGAAAAAAAAGATCAGAGCTTAGACTGTGACAATACAGAAATGAACTTCATTTTAAGCATCATAACATTATACCACTCTTAACCATAAGAAAGTTTTGTTTTTTATATATATATAATTTATTAAAAAAAAAAAAGATGTTCGTCAAGCTTTAGTAACTCTAAATTATTATCTCGCAATAACTGTTCTGAAAACTGAAATGGGAACCCTGCGCCTTTGACTACTTAGCATTCTCTGCCATCCGGCATTTTTAAAAAAAAGAAATTATAGATTAAAGCCTTGACAAATTTATGAAACTTAAATAATGTTTAGTAATGAGGAGCAGTTTAACATAATCTACATTGTAGTTTACAACTTAACTTCAGCAATTAACCTTAATCATTCTTACAGGTATTATATATCCTCTTACTACCTGTGTATATATTTGATAAATCTTATTAGGATAAATCGTTCATTGGTGACAAGAATTTTTATTTTTCTTATTTGTTCACCTTATGCTTCCAGCCTCAAATCACTGTTCCATCTTCTCAACACTTCCCTAGTGAAGTAGAAATGGACAGGCCTCTGCATGACCGTATAAATATATTTAATATATCTATTTTTTTTTTTAATTTTTAAAAGATAAATAAATCATATATAAATAAACCCACCACCAAGTCACCAAGCCGAGGAGACTGAAGCAATCAATTTTTTGGTGGCCGGCCATACATGTAGTATAATGTCAACGCAGAAAAAAAGGAAAATAAAGTTGAGAGTTGATACAATTTCAAATAGTTAGGGAAAAAATGGGGGTTGTTTTTCAATAAATGCTTAATATAAGTTATAGTCTAAACTGAAAATTATAGGAAAAAGGGGTGGGATAATTTTTTTTTTTTAATTTTAATGTATACTGTGATTCTGGTAACTCAGCGTTAAACAATAATGTAGATTTTATAAAAGCATACTAGTATATCGGTGAAACGGCAACAAATAATTCTATTATTGTAGATTGTCAGTTTATTTTTCTGCTTTAGTTATTCCCATAGATTGTAAGGATCTTCCTAAAGATAATCACACTAATTCAGGGGTGTATGAAATTTATCCCTATGGAACCATTCATAGTCCTTTCAGAGTTTACTGTGATATGGTAACAATGGGCGGAGGATGGACGGTATGTACTTTATTTCAAAATTAGGGTGGATTATATAATTCATATTTAGTGATTCCGTTCTTCAAAAGAATAAAGAATAATAAAATATGAATATTTTTAGTTTATATCATAACATATTGATCATATAATTGTTTGAAACAATGAATTATATTGCTATACATGTTCTTCACTTTGAAAGGCAATCCAAAAACGCGTAAACGGATCTCTGAGTTTTGACAGGAGTTGGACAGATTATAAAAATGGTTTCGGTTCACCTGAACAGGATGTCTGGGTTGGTAAGTGTAAATCTCTATCAAATAAGAGCTATTTTCCAAAATTGCTTTTTTGTGACAAATAAAAAATGGAATCACATCAAACATCTGATTGTAAGTCTGGATTATATGTTCATGACAATACTCACTCATCAGGTTTAATTGCAATCTGATATAAAAAAGAAAACAAATGAGAGCGAGAGCATTACATCACTCAGCGGTATGGTCTTTGAAATATACCAAATTTAGCATGAATGTCTACAGCTCAGGAAAATAATTTGATTTCCATTAATGTATATTCATATTTATAATAGAATTATTGTATTTCAATAAACTTTACAGTTGATTTCAAACATATCTTAATGCAGGAAATGACGTAATACATCAGTTAACAAAAGAAAAGAACACATTCCTTTATGTGTCCATCACTCTCCAGAATGGTACAACGCTGTATGAAATGTACGATCGGTTCTCTGTTTCCAGTGAAACAGAGAAATATCAACTCTTTCTGGCAGGACCTGCCACGGGGACCTTAGGTACGTGTAATTAAGTTAAGTTCTTAAAATTAGTTACGAATCAAGTATAAAATTATATACTTCTATGCAGAGAAAAATTATTAAGTTGTTGAAAAAAAAACATATAGAAACATTTTTTCTAATATTCCGTGAACGTCTTTAATTCCAAGATTTTAATATTTCACGATATCATTCGTAGATATAATTTACGAATTCCGCGGTAACTGAATTTCTTATTGCTTAGTTGTTGGAAATTTTAAATTATATCTTTTAAAACAAAAGAAAATTATATTATTTTTTTTAACTAGCATATTCAGTAGCAACCTTTGATCCGCCATTGTTATTAATCTTGGTTTTTATTTTTTTTTTTTTTTTTTTTTTTTTTTTTTTTTTTTTTGAATAATCTACATTTTGAACTACTACGGAATAGGAAGTTTACAGCGCGTAATTGATATATAATATGACATGTTCACGAAAGTTCAATGTTGAAAGAAAATGATTTGAGGCGTAACATAGTCAAATAAAAAAACATTCAAATTCAAAAAATCTCAACGCGTTACACTTTTACAATACCTATTCTATATTAAATGAAAATCTAATATTTTAAAACATTTACAGGTACATCATTTCTTACCTTGTTATTATTTTGAATAATTTGCTTCGTATTGCATTTTATACATTTTAAAGGCAAAGTCTCTATTATTACAATTATTTTGTTTGTTTTGTTTTTTAAATCATACTTTAAAAGTATAACACGCCTTGAGTTTATTGTTCCATTAGAAAAGATGCTTAAGAAATTGCACAGCGATTTGTATTGTATTTAAAAAAAAATATTGTTGCTATTTACAGAAGACAGCACGAGAAGCCGTCTATCTTAGATGTACTTCAGTATTATTGACAATAAAATTTACGTAATATATAGATATTCCACATGTATTTTGCTTAAAAAGTGTGAGGAAAGCTACGGCACTCAAAACACCATAACACGGACAGGGTGTTTAAAGCTTAAAGTATGCGATTTTTTTTGACGTCACAAACGTTGAACGCCCGTGAAAGTGTTACTTCATAAGTGAAAATCAAAATTCACGCTAACATTGAACAGAAGCTGTTGCAATGTCTCTTCCATTAATTACAACTTACCCTAAGGATAATACAGGGAATTTGAAATCTAAATCAAATTTACAGTCAATGCAAGGAGTTAAAAATGTTAAATAATATAAGCGATAAAGCTCGTTACTCAATTCGTTTGCACATACCGTTGCAGTTATGAGACTATATCCTGCATAAAATAATGATTCACTGCTTAAATAAATCAATCAATGATCTCTGTGATGTATTTTCTCTACAGGTGACAGTATGTTAAACACTACTTATTCTTCGGCCAATCTGTCTGGGATGTACTTCAGTACACCAGACAGAGATAACGACAGGGGTAGTGGTAGCTGTGCTGTTCGTCATAGAGGAGGGTGGTGGTTTAACTACTGTCACGATGCCTTCCTCAACGGTCCCTGGTCCCCGGCAGACTGGCAGTATCACTTTGTTCAGGTATACTGGATGTTACCTTGGTGGCCTACAGTACAGAATGGGGCAAATGTGAGGAAGACCATGATGTTAATAAAACGTCACTAGGTAAACAACACTCAATCTTAAAAACCCGTATCTAATATTTGGTATTTCCTTGAACATTTTAAAAAGGTTATCAGAATATTCGTAAAAGGCATAAAACATGCCCTTTTTTCTGAAACATTATTAAATTCTTTTACTTTTTTCATAAAACATTATTTAATTCTTTTTTTGTAATAAAACATACACTTTTATTTTTCTTAAACATTATTTAATACTTTTATTTATTTTTTTTTACTTACAACAGATGGACATTCAAAATTGAGAGATCAGGCCTCAAATTGACGACGATCACCAATCAGTCAAATGAAACATTTCTAATAAAAGAGACAATTTTAATTTTATCATGGGATTCTATTCATTTTTTTTTTTTTTTTTTTTTTTTTTTTTTTTTTTTTTTTTGGATAATGTTATATATTAAGAGAGAAAACTTGTAAAGGATTGTGTTTTGAGGGGGTTTTGTGGTTGAACTATTTGCTGAAGGAATAATGTTTTATCAATTTTCCTTACCAAATGTACCCAGTTAAAGCTGTACATAATATGTGTTGTAATAAATTGGAAATTAGAAATATTTCGTTCTTATTTACAAACACTGACACACTGCCACATGAAGATGCCTTGACGGATAATTGGGAAAAAAATTGTTCTCTTATAAAAAGTATAACAGTGGAAACTGTTTTCTCCGACACCTGTAGAGTCTGTGAATTCTGACACTGAATTTCATTCTCATTTCTTCTAATTTCTATTATCTTTACACTGTGTAATCTTACATCATGTTTATTTTCTCCCAGTGCATGTCGGATAAAACACGTTTCATTGTATTCAATATATTTTATAACTTAATCATAATTAGTTACATTTGATGTTCATGAACCGTAGTACAATATATCCAGGATTATGATTCTTTAAAGAGATGTCCCCATCTTTTTTCCAGGCATGCATATTTTGATTGGATGAGCAGACATAATCCATTATATACTTAATGTACTTTATATACATAACAATATTTGCTTTTTTTTTTTTTTTTTTTTTTTTTTTTTTTTTTTTTTTTTTTTTTGGATGCTCTTGTTCCATTTTTATTTTGTGGAAAAAAATGAGCTAAATATTTGACGTCAGATGTACTTCATATTTCTTTCTACAAATTGAATTATACCATTAATATATTTATTTGGCTTATTTTTTTTTCTGGCAAGAAACGCAATGATGCCAGATTCGTACGTCTTAGAGGTCTAACGTTTTTAGCAAGGGTATATTATGAGGTTAGAGTCAAAATATCACATTTTCTGAAGATAAATATCTTTTATTGCTACAGATAATTATTTAAAAAGAATAAAAATTAGAGTTTTCCGCTCTTAAATGTACAAGATCCGTCATCGAAGACTAATATCGTCACTGTAATTTTTGTTCGGGTTGAAACACAGATAGATATATTTATATTTCACAAGTATTTTGTTTATAAAATGTGTTGATAGCTACGCATTCAAAACACAATAACAAAGACGGGGAAGGCGCAAAAGGTTATAGTATGCATTTAATTTTGACGTCACAAATGTTCAATGCCGTGTAAGTGCAATGTCATAAGCGGAAATCAAAATTCACGTTTACTTCTATTAATTGTAATCTACCCGAGGGATAATACAAATATATTTAAAAAAAAAAAAAAAAAAAAGAAAGAAAAAAAGGCAAGGCGAGGAGTAAAAAAAAAAAGTATATATGTGACCGCGACTGGGAAAAAGGGGCCAGATGAGTAAAAAAATCGAAATTCATTTTATTGTCTTTTTTAAATCAAGACACTTTGAATAACACAAATTCAAAATTTCATGCAAATATCATTGAAAATAAAAAAAAGATATAGGCCCAGGTATGCAGGCATCTTCCATTCATTTCATAACGTCAGTGACGTTACCATAACGTCATAAACGTCATAATCAGAAAATCAAATATATCTCAACACTTTCAGTCTACTGGTATATTAAGAACAACCTATTCTTTTTATTTAAACTCTTCTTAAAATTTTGCTTAAATATGATGAAAATAAATTTAAATTAAATATACTGTTATTCTTACTCATTACATATATGACTGTTGAAACAAATGAATTGGATTCAGAAGACTGACTTATTAATCTACCTGAATCGATGACCACAGAATGAAAGGGAAGACAACATAATGAACAAAATAATCAACCATTTATTTTCATTAAAATAAACTCTAGAAACATGAGAAATGCACAATAATTAATTATTATCAAGATACAAGTTGTATGCATCTGTACTTTCTTAGCATGATCAACAGCATACAGTATAAAGATTATAAAAATATTACATTTTGGGGGGAAGCGTGAAATTGGTTTCCCTTGATATTGAAAATCATTTTTGACAAAGCTTTGTAATACTTTTTGTTATACTAAACATATCCAAAATGCATTTAAATGAAAATGTCACAGAGAAGGTGCAAACATCAGTTAACAATTTTCATAGTGTTATACATTTTTAAACAGTCGAGATGTAACGCTACTTGTCGGACACAGATTATGTAAACAGTTGGGTAAAAGTGCAAATGTACTAACTCTAACATGTTTTAATGCGATGAAATTTGACAAAAAAGTACATCAATGTAACACATTACTGGAAGTAGTACAATAGGAACTACATGTATACATTTGACTTCTAATCTTTCTCTTTGTCGCCTGCGTGGCGCAGTGGATAGAGCGTCTGCTATAGAGTCGCGAAGTAAGGAGTTGATCCTTACGTCAATGGTTCGAATCCCACTGTGAACATGGAGACCAGTCCTTAGGATGAGACTGTATAAACCAAGGTCCCGTGTCGCAGTAGGTGCTGGCACGAAAAAGATCCTTCCCTGCTCAATGGCCCCGAGTGCCGAGTATAGGACAAAATTTGCAGCTCTCCACCGGCAAGTGGTGGCATCTCCATATGAGTGAAAATTCTTGAGAGGGACAACATACAATCAATAAATCAATCTAATCTTTCTCATACACAATAATCCTCCCTTTCATCTAAGGAGAAGACTTTTCCTTTTCCAAAAGTGTGACAGAATGATCAGGTGAATAAACTTTCATCTCTTTCTTTGGTACAACTGGTTTTGGACATGATGTTTCTTTAGCAGAGAGTGATAGACAATTTTCACAGATTTCCTCATATAGATTCCATTGCCTCTTGGGCTCAAGACCAGGTGCTGGGATTTCTTGAGGCAGAGGATCATTTATGGAGGGAAGAATATACTGATCTTTCAGGAGATTAACACACAAAGGAACAGAATTACAGAGCTCCTTACATTCAACAGCACCAGGAGTCTCAGCACTTACTCGGAAATGATGATTATAGCCTCAAATGTTTTTCAAGGGTTTGAAGAACTTCCAGTCCCTAAATTGCACAGGTGTTTGTGGATCTGACATGAGCTGAGGAATGTTATGGCCTCTGCGGGATGAATGACGGACTGTGTCTGCTGTATCATTGATTTCATGGTTTCTGCTGTAGAGGAACACCATTTTACTTTCCAGACTCCAAAATGCCAATCAGGATCAAATTTAGTGTGTCCTGCCACCATCACAAAATATTCCACAATGATATGGAGTCCTAATTTAAAGGAAATACACTCCTTAATTAATTTCAATCTAATGCTATTTCTTATATACATATTATATATATAGTATATACAAATGCTACATTTAAGAAGAGTTTGCATTTCATGACTATCACAATCACTGACATTATACATCCATGTAACACTTTGCGCATTGAATGTACTGAATAATGAACAATACTTTCACAATTTTTAATAATTAAAATGAAATATTTTTTTTTATTATGATGTACACTTACCTACAAGAACTCTCTGTCGCCCGCGTGGCGCAGTGGTTAGAGCGTCTGCTCTAGAGTCGCGAAGTAAGGAGTTGATCCTTACGTCGCGGGTTCGAATCCCACTGTGGGACGTGGAAGACCGGTCCTTCGGATGAGACCGTATAAACCGAGGTCCCGTGTTGCAGTAGGTGCTGGCACGAAAAAGATCCCTCACTGCTCAATGGCCGTAAGTGCCGAGCATAGGACAAAATTTGCAGCTCTCCACCGGCAAGTGGTGGCGTCTCCATATGAGTGAAACATTCTCAAGAGGGACCTTAAACAACATACAAACAAACAAACAAACAAACAAGAACTCTCCAGAGAGCATACCATAAGACAAATTTGTTTTTGTTTTGCCCGCTGCAGTTGTCAAAATGAATGGATGCTGTTTTTTCTCCATATATTATGGTGTTGAAAAAAGTGTTGAACCATACTTATGACAGAATTAGCACCCTTCCTTGTGTTCTCAGCCTCATCAATCAAGTAGAACACTTGTTTTTCTACCATTTAAGTAAAAACAAAAATTTTGATCAGAACTAAATAACTCAATCATTGACTTACTTATTTACCTCATTTACATACATTATGTCATTGACAAAAATAGCATGTGTCAATATTTTGTTGCAATTAATAGAATTCATAATAACTAAAATTGTTTTACTCAGAATCAGTATCGTATGATTCTATATTTGAAATAGTATCCAATTTTATATATATTTTAGAATTTACTGTTTCGTCAAATATCAGATTTCCACATAAAATGTAATTCATAAAATTCTTACAAGTATTACATTTACAGGTTAATATTGATTGTAAATACAGTTCTTAATATATATCTCATTTTATAAACAGTTATTTCTGATTGAATTAAAGAACTACGCAATATATCATGACCTATGAAAGAACATACCTGAACCCTCACAACATACACCAAACACATTGCATTTCCGTGGCGTCTTGAAAAATATTGTTCCCACTTGTTGGGCATGATCCCAGGAATAGTGCATTTCCATATCAACTGAACATGAAGCTGTTCCTTTAACAAAATAAATCATTCATGATCATTTGTATGCATTGATAGTTATCCATAGTATATACTATTTCATGAACAAAGAAATTCAATTTCACAGAAGTAACACTTGGGTATATCTGAGACCTGTTCAACAGAGCGAACGTTCGCGAGCACTCGTCAAAATTCCTTACACCTCCAATAGAATTGTTCGCGAGCCCTGTTGAACAGGCCTCTGTTTTCCTATTATTAGGAAAACAGAAGAGGAGAAAATGCATGGCTGAAATTGAACTCTTGACCCCTGGCCAGGTATTCTACCCATTGAGCAACATGTACCCAGCCTGATATAAATAGTCCAAATAATAGTATATAGTACTTGAATGTTCATTTAATGCTAATGATGGACAGTATACCATACTTGTAACTATACACTAAAGGAAAAAAGAAATTGCAATAAAACTTTAATTTACAGTTTGTTTACATTCCTCTGGTAATGATCAGGTCGGGCACAATCTCTTGATTAAGCTATATAGCTTGATTTAGCTATATAGCTTTATTAAGCTATTCAGAATAGCTTGATTTAGCTATTTTATCACACTTTTTTCTCAAATGTGTTATTTTCCAAGTATGCACAAAAAGTCGCACCTTGGTGCAGTGATGATATTCAACCTTGAACTCTTATGAAAATAATGCATGTAAAAATCACTCATCAAATTGCGTCTCCTTAAGAGACTTTGTACTCAAAGTTCTAAAAGTTTTGGGGCTATATAAAGCAATTGATACAGTTACTTCTTCAATGAAATTATAAAGGAGGCCAATTATGGTCAACAACATGTCGGTGTCATTAACCATGTTAACTTCATTCGGTATATAAACATCTCCATCATTGTTGTCATTGTCACTTTCAGAATCAGAATCATAGTTTAAATCACCATAAATTACTCGTATCTGTGTTGCTGCCGGTTGACAGATCACAAAACTGTCTGTCGCGCACGTTAGATTTTAGAGCAACAAGTTTAGAGAAATATAATTCATCTACACGCTCTATCTCTTCTAAAAATTCATCATCTTGATAAAGAACAATTTCTGATGGTATACTTATGATGATGCTGTGGAAATTTGACTCATTTTTAGTACTTGAACTCCTTACATTTCCAAACTGGCAAACAGTTTACATGTGACTTTCACTTTCAATCTGTTCTCAACCGGAAATGCTTTTATGGACAGAGATATTGCTCTTTAAAATCCGCGGTAAATTCAAATGGAAAAAAAAATACCGTAATAAAATATATTGCAAAACATTAAAACAAATGCAATATAACAGACATCTATTCAAATTTTATAATTAACACTTTAAAAATACGAGACAGAGATAAACTTTTTCAGAAGCACGTGTACTGCATAATTTTTTTCTCGCGTTTTTTTTTTCGATTGTGACGCAAACGTTCAGAACTATCGCCGATTTCTCATTATGACGTTTGCCGCATCTGGCCCCTTTTTCCCAGTCGCGGTCACATATAAGCATTGAATCATTATTTTTTGAAAGATGCCGTCTCGAATCAGCAATGGTGTGTACAAACAAATTTTCATAAAGCGCTAGCTCGCGTTTCTTAATTTGTTTGCACTCACCGTTAATATAATGAGACAACATTTAAAAAAAATGATTCAATGCTTAAGTCTGTGTTAAGACAATTCATTCTCTATTATTCGGTGTATGGACTATGATACATATTTCCAAAAAAAAAAAACTACATATATGTATATATATATATATATATATATATATATATATATATATATATATATATATATATATATATATATATATATATATATAGACTGCAGTTTGGTACTTGTAGTCCAATAAAGAGAAAAAGTTTTTTAAGAAGCTGATGTTAATACAACAAGATGTTTTGGGGAAACAATGATGCCCTCGAATGGCCGCTTATCGCGAAGGTTGTCATTTGCAAGTTAAACTCTAAGGTCAAGGTCAAGAGATCATCATTGTTGGTACTCAAAAAAAAGATCTTGTCAAAATGAGTTCACCTTTGAAATCTAAAAGCTATAAAAGCACCAACAGTTCAATAATTATGGCCAAAATTAAAGATTTTCAAAAGTTAGTCAAAAATTGTCAGGCCAAAAGGCCAAAATTAATAGTACACAAATGAATTTCAGAAGAAATACACAGGTGAATTACGAAAGTTTTAGAATCAGCCATTAAAAAGTAATGACCGAACATTTTCAAAAGAGGTCAAAGTCTGAGGTCAAGATCAAAGGGTAAAAAATGTCGGTATTCAAGAAAAGTTCTTGCCACAAGAAATAAAGCGGTGAAATATTTAAGCCCTAGCACTTACCATTCAGAAATTACGGCCAAGGTTAAAGTTTTTCAAAAGTAGGTCAAACTCATAAGGTCAAGGTCAAATGGTCAATATTGTTGGTACCTAGGAGGAGGTCTTGTCAAAAGAAATGAACACGTTTTGCATGTAATTATCTGATTTAACCGTTCAATAGATATGGCCAAGGTTAAAATTAGGTAATTTTTTTAAAGTGTGTCAAACTCCAAGATCAAGTTCAAAAGGTCAAAAATATTTACACCCTAGGAAAGGTCTTTTTGCATGGAATACACCTGAAAGGAAAGAAAACCATTTTTAAACCAATCAAAATTATGGGTAAGGTTAAAGTTTTTATTTTACGGACTAACAGACAAACAGATAAACTTACCAACAGACACACAGAAAGACAGACGGACGGTTAGAGCAAAATATATATTTCCCCGAATCTTCGATTACGGGTGCATAAAAAATTTCTAATAACACTTGGTGTTAGGTTTTATTTTCTACATATGGAAAGAAGAGATCTGAATGTAAGTATTCCTGAAGAAGTGCAAAGATAACGAAACGCCACAATATGCATTTTGTCTACATGTTATCCTGCCAGTTAGTTTCCATGAGGAAGTGCAAAGATAACGGGACGCCATATTGTACATTTTGTCTACATGCTATCTGTGGTTTATTAAAAACTTGAGGATAAATCTCTTCCTAGAAGACAAATATACTACATAAAATTTAGAAGATTCCATTCAATTTGTTTACATTTTTTTACCCACTAGTCTATCTGCCATTTTTTCAATGATAAAAATATAATGGTGGCAAAAGTTTATTTTTATTTAAAAAAAAATGAAACATAACGTAATAGAACACTCTTCCGGCTCCAAATAAAACGGAGAATCCTCACAAATAAAAGGAAGTTTTAGTCCGTCTTCTCCTGTATAGTACGTGTAATTCCTTTCAGTAACCCAGCGCCACCTACTGTCGTTATGATAAGTCAAAAGGAGGCCAAAGATAGGATCAACTGCCGTCTCACCCTCGTCGTTTGGATTTCAGTTCTGATACGTCACAGGTGTCCAATTATCAAAAATTAGTCTTTCATTGTCAAATGTCAAAACATTGGCACGGACTGCAAAAGACCCATTCAGATCAACTTCTGCAGAAAAAGGAAAGAAAATAACATCATTATTGAAATATCGATACCTGTGTCATAACATATAAACGTTCTAAACTCCATTTATATAATTTGTTTGTTGTTCTACACCCATACCCTTTAAAAACTTATAAATCGATAAAATTGAACTTATGTATCGAAAACCAACAGATGTTCAAAGGGAAAGTATCCCATTTTCGACCTAGGTAAAAAAGTACAATTTTCTGATACATGTAAGCATAAGCCAGTCTAGGCATAACTAAAATTCAATTTGAAGAACAAAGGAAAATAAGTATCGTTGGATGGTATTTGAAACCATAACCAAGGTCTTTTAAATGGAAAATCAATTGAAAAATTACAAATTTCATACACTGCAATAATCTTTGTTTCAAGATTTCAATGAAGCTAGTAAACTAAAAGTTCTAAAATTCAAATTTGTGGAATGCAAAAAAGGGGGAAAAAAAGAAAAATATATATATATATATATATATATATATATATATATATATATATATATATATATATATATATATATATATATATATATATATATATATATCATTTATGACAGTAAATATACTGAAACGCAAAAGAAACGCAACAAGTGGTAATCTACAAATATTTGAATTTTTTATCTAATGGTTTTCAAAAATGAATACAGTAAGGTAAAACTTGATTTATAAACATCAGAGATTTGATAAAAATGTTAAATTATAATCTTTTAACTTTAGAAAGTAACACATGGATGTTAAAACACCCCCCACCCCGGTCATTCAATTACAGTGTGCAAGACTGCCATGTACAACAGTTGCAGCTTGATTTTTTATGATGCAGTAGGTTTATCAATCTCGAGATCTGAGCGAAAGAAATACTCTTTGCCATTTTAAATGCCTGTTTTTCAGATGATGAGGTCGAATTTTCTCTAGCCAAGCGCAGTGTAGTAACCCTTGGACTTCCTGTCCAAGGGCCGTCATTCATGCTAATGATACGTCAGAGCCTGTTGAGGCGTGATGTGTTGCATATTTGCATCTGCAACTCTCCATTACCTTTATTTTGAGATTTTTCAGCTAGAGCAATGGAAATGCTTTCTTAAGTCATTTTTAGGAAGCCTTGGCATCGCTTACGGAAAAGAAAGGAGAATTTGTTATTCGTAACATTGCTTCATTACTTATGATGAACATATACAAATTCTTAAAACCCCGTATTATTGCCAAATATTTTGTTAAACATGCAATTTTTTTATTTTGTTAAGCGGACTCAAACTTAACTTCCGGTTATGGTATGAAAATCACCCAACAGTTAAATTACTGATATTTACAAAGTTGAAGATGTCCTTACATTTTAGATACAAAATTATATCCTATATATAATATTTCCCCCTAAAATAGAATGTTGCGTTTCTTTTGCGTTTCATTATAGTTTTATGCTGACGAATGACATAATATTGCAAGTTGTGTTTCATATTTGTGTTATGTTCAACATATATATTTGTTCATATAGTA